CAAGAGAATCACCTAAGCCCAAGAACTGGATGTTGCTGTGAGCTGTGACGCCACGGCACAGGGCAACAAAGTGAGACTCTGTCTCTTAAAAAAAAAAAAAGTGGGCTTCTGGTGACTGGCCAGAGTGGGAAGCTTTCCTTTCCTCCTGAGGACAGAAACTAAGTAAGAGAACAACTCTATTTCTGTTTTGACTTGTGATTATTAGATTCCTTAGGGGGAAGTTTCTGCTGTGTGCCGTCCCCCTGGCTACCATAATAAATGCCCCATAACCATTTGGCCACTTCAGCCCCTGCAGTCCCACTTCTACCTCATACTGCTTCACCAGTCACCAGCAATCCCTGTGCAGTGACCTCCACCGTGTCCCAGGACCACCCTGTGCCCTCCCTCTAGCCTCTGTGCTCTCACCTGGTCTCCTGCCCACCACCACCAGCTGGGACCTGAAAGCCACACGCTAGACTAAAGGGGACTCTGCTTCTGCAAGGCTAAGGACCTCAGATCAGGCCCCTGCCCCTAGCTGGCCACCTCTTCTTCATGCCCTGTGCCCCGCTGCCAGCCCAGGTCCTAAAAAGGTTTCAGCGAAGCCCCCACCCGGGAGCTCACAGGACTAGTCACACAGTTCCCCACAGATTCCACAAAGTTCCTCACACAGTTCCCCACACAGTTCCTTACACAGTTCCCCACACAGTTCCTCACAGGTTCCGCACAGTTCCCCACTGAGTTTCTTACACAGTGCCCCACATAGTTCCCCACACAGTTTCCAATACGGTTCCTCACACAGCTTCTCACAGGTTTTACATAGTTCCCCACACAGTTCCTCACACAAGTTTTCACCCACAGAGCTCCTCATACAGCTCCTGACAGTTCAAAACAGTGCCTCACAAAACTTTCCACATGGTTCTCCACACAATTCCCAACACAATCCTCACACAGCTCCTCACAGGCTTAACATAGTTCCCCACACAGTTCCTCAGACACTTCCAAACACAATCCTCACACAGTTCCTCACAAGTTTTACATAGTTCCCCACATAGTTCCTCAGGTATTCTACATAGTTCTCCACACAGCTCCTCACACAGTTCTCCCCACAGGGCTCCTCATAGTTCAAAACAGTGCCTCACAAAATTTTGCACACAGTTCATCACACATTTTCCACACAGTTCTTCACAGTTCCCCCACACAATTCCTCACACAGTTCCCAATGCAATCCTCACACAGCTCCTAACAGGCTTTACATAGTTCCCTAAACAGTTTCTCACATGTTCCACACAGTTTCCCACTGAGTTCTTCACACAGTTCCCCACATAGTTCCTCAAACTACACAGTTCCCCACACAGTTCCACACTGAGTTCTTCACACAGTTCCAACACAATCCTCACACAACTCCTCATAGGCTTTACATAGTCCCCCACACAGTTCCTCACATGCTCCCCACTGAGTTCCTCACACAAGTTCCCACACAGCTCCTCACATAGTTACTCACACAGTTTCCAACACAGTTCCCCCACACAGCTCAATAGAGTTCCTCACAAATTTTTTCACACAGTTCCTCACACAATTTTCCACACAATTTGTCACACAGTTTTCCCCACAGAGCTCCTCACACAGTTTGTCACAGTTCAAAAGATTTCCTCACAAAATTTTCCAGAGTTCCTCACACAATTTTCCACACAGTTCCCCAAACAGTTCTTCACACAACTCTTCACAGTTCAAAACAGTTCTGCATAAATTTTTTTACACAGTTCTTCACACAATTTTTCACACAGTTCCCCACACAGTTTCCAAAACAGTTACTCACACACTTCTGCTCACAGTTCCCCCACAGGGTTCCTCACAAAATTCCTCAGAGTTTAAAACATTTCCACACTAAATTTTCCACACAGTTCCCCACAGAGTTTTCCCCACACAGTTCTTGCTGTTCTTCAGACAGTTCCCCACACAGTTCCCCACAAGCTCCACACAACGTTCCTCACACATTTTCCTCACAGTTCCTTACACAATTTTTCCCACAGAGCTCCTCACATAGCTCCTTGCAGTTCAAAACAGTTCCTCAAAAAATTTCTACACAATTTCCCACATAGTTCCTTATACAGTTCCTCAGACAGTTCGTCATCTTTGTCACACAGGTTCTCACACAGTTCCTGACAGTTCAAAATAGTTTCTCACAAAATTTTCCACACAGTTCTTCACATAATTTTCCAGTTTCCCACACAGCTCCTCATACTGGTCCTCACACAGTTCCTCACATGTTCCCCCAAAGTTGCCCACGAAGTTCCTCACAAAATTCCCCACACAGTTGTCCACTCAGTTCTTCACACAAATCCTCAGTTTTCAATACAGTTCCTCACATATTCCACACAGTTCCCCCACTGAGTTTCCCACACAGTTCCTCAGACAGTTCCTCATACAGTTCCCATACAGTCCTTCACCCAGCTCCTCAAACAGTTTCCCACATAGTTCCTCACAGAGCTCCTCACATAGCTACTCGCAATTCAAAAGAGTTCCTCACAAAATTTTCCACATGATTCTTCACACAATTCCTCACAGTTGTCACACAGTTTCTCACACAGTTCCTGACAGTTCAAAACAGCTCCTCACACAGTTCCCCACACAGTTCCTCTCACAGTACCCCATACAGTTCCCCACACAGTTCCCCATACAGTTCCTCAGATACTTTCTCATACAGTTCTTCATAGTTTTGCACAGTTCCTCACACAGTTCCCAATACAGTTCCTCATACACTTCCCCACACAGTTCCTCACAAAATTTTTCACACAGTTTCTCACACATTTTTCCACACAGTTCCCTACACAGTGTTCCCCCACAGTTCCTCACATAGTTCTTCACATAGTTCCTGACACTGTTCCTCACACAATTCCCCACACAATTCCCCACACAGTTCAGTTGTCCACCAGTTCCCACACAGTTCCTCACAGTTCAAAACAGTTCCTCACAAATTTTCCACACAGTTCCTCACACAATTTTCCACACAGACCCCCCCGACACACAGTTCCGCACACAGTTCCTCTCAGTTCTTTACATTTCCTACACAGTTCCTCATACAGTTCCCATTCAGTTCCTCCCACAGTTCCCACACAGTTCCCCACATAGTTCCCAACACAGTTCCCCACACAGTTCCTCACTGTTCCCACACAGTTCCCCCATTTAGTTCCTGACACAGTTACCAACACAGTTCCCACACAGTTCCCCATACAGTTCTCCAGAGTTCCCACACAGTTCCTCACACAGTTCACCCACTTAGTTTCTGACACAGTTACAAACACAGTTCCCACACAGTTCCCACACAGTTCCTCATACATTTCCTCACACAGTTCCCCATATAGTTCCTCATACAGTTCCTCACAGTTTAAAACAGTTCCCCATACAGTTCCTCACAGTTCCTCAGTTGCCATACAGTTCCTCACACAATTCCCCACACAGTTGCCCACTCATTTCCTCACACAGTTCCTCACACAATTTCTCAAACAGTTCCCAGAGTTCCTCACTCATTTTCCAACACAATTCCCAGACATGGTTTCTCACACAGTTGCCACAAAGTTTCCTACAGTTCCTCACACAGTTCCTCACATAGTTCCTCATACAGTTTCCACACAGTTCCCCACACAGTGCCAACACAGTTCCTTACACTATTCCTCACACAATTTCTCACACACGTCCCCACACTTCCCCACAGAATTCCTGACACATTCCTCACATAGTTCCCATACATTTCCTCACACAGTTCCCACACACTTCCTCACACTGTTCCCCACGCCATTCCCCACAGAGTTCCCAGCACAGTTCCCTACACAGTCCCTACCCAGTTCCTCACATGGTTCCCCCACACAGTTTTCCCCCTACACAGTTCCTAACACTGTTCATCACACAGAGCCTACAGTTCTCTCACAGATGTGACCCCCCCCCCCAGCTCCCCATAGGTTCTTCACATTCCCTCACAGTTACTCTGTTCTCATCATCATTCCACAGAATTCCTTTCATAGCCCCAGGTCCCACACTTCCTCTCCCATTTCCATAGTTCCTCATAGTTTTTTACAGAATTTCAGAATTTCCACACAGTTCTCTAAACAGTACCTCACATCAACCTAAACAATGCCCCACAGGGTTTCTCACATAGTTCCACACACTCGACTCTCATGAGTCTCCCCACACCTCCTCACACGACTTCCTCTCACACCGCGCCTCATGCTTGCTGCTTCCCTGTGGTTCCTCACAGCCATGCATACAGTTCCCTCCACTGCTCCTCATGGGTCCCCACACAGCCACACATGGCTCCTCATAATTCTTCCCAACCTGCCACATGGCACTTCCCACACAGTCCCATGTAGCCCCCCTATACTCACTTCCCACACAGCCTCACATCAATTCTTGTGCTGTTCTGCTCACAGTTCTCCACACAGGTCTTTATGGTTCCATATGCAATTTCCACATGTTCCCTTGCCACCCCATACTTCCATAGCTCCTCACAGAGAATACACAGGACCCAATACTGCCCCACACTGTGCCCTACAATTCCTCACACAGGGGCTCCTAACAGCCCTTCATGTGGGTCCCATAACATCCTTTCCACCCATCCACACAGCCACCCACATGGTTCCCCTGCACTGTCCACACAGCTCCTCACATGGTTCCCCTGTACCATCCACCCAGCCACCAACACAGTTCCCCCCATCATCTACCATCTCCTCACATCTCCTCCTCATAATTCTCCTCACACATCCAGGTACATTTTCTCAGTTCTTTACAGTTGGTCACAATTCACTTGATCCCTCAGAGTCCTTGACAGAGTCCATCACAGTGTTTCCCACTCATTTCCCCAAGAAGTTTTCACAGTTCCCCAAATAATTCCCCAGACAGTTCCTTGCATAGTTCCCACCAATTCTGTACACTTTCCTTACACTTCCTCACATGCTCACTCTCACAGCTCCTCTCATGGTTCCACACACTTTCTGCTTACAGCCCCCAGCTTGCACTTGCACCTGGCACCTCACATCTCCCACCAGCCCTTCCTACCACCTAGCTAGGCTCTCCGCCCCCTGCCAGCTCCTCCTCACTCCTCAGGGCTTCACCCTGCAGCCACCCTCCCAAAAGCTTTCCTGTCCAAAGTTGTCTCACTTGGGTGTCACTCTAGAAGCCCATTTTTTTTCCTCTCTAGAATTCATCCCAATTTGCAATTACATTTTTATTTTTCTGTTTCTGCCCGCACTGCACCGTGGACCCAGAAGACATGCACTGGTCGCTGTGAGGCCCAGCTGCTGGCACAGGGCTCAGAGTGGGGCTCGGGGTGTGTGTGTTGAATGAGTGAATGAAGGGGGAATTCTGCTGCCTAGGCTGCATGGGAACAGTACCCTCCACTCGGGACCAAAGAAGGTGGCTTACCTTGTTGGGTCCTGAGTCCTGGAAATGAAAAGACAAAAGGGTTAGGGGACCTGGAGTGAGCTTGAGGCCCTGGTGTATAAGGGGACATGGGAATGGTCTGACTCCAGATGACAAAAGAGCTGTGCCAAAGTCCATCATCCTGAGCCGATCCTGACAGCTAGGCCAAATGCCATGCGCCCTCTCAGGCTGTTGTACCCCCTGCAGTCTCCCCTCCACCCCCAACAATTTCAGTGTAGGGTCGGATCTGCTGAGCATCATCCTTCCCTGGCCTCAGGACTGAGTATCTCAGTGAATGGGCAGTGCTGCTTATCCTGCATGGATCCCTAAGTCCAGCCCTTCACCTCTAAGGACCATGGGCTCCCCCAAAGGATGGCCTAGACTGAGCAAAGTGAGGTCATTGCTGACCACAGGCCTGTCCTTCTAGAGTACCAGCCAACATGTTCACCAGAGCCCATAGTACCCTCAGACAGGCCCTGTGAAGAAGGCAGCACATCCCCCTTATACAGAAGTTCCAGGGAATAACAAGGATCACTACTCCATCTCTAGCTTGTGACCCTCCCCTGACCTCTGGGCTTTCCCTTGAATCCTAGCCCCCTCATCACTGATGGGACCTGGGGACAGGTAGGACAGGCTCCCAGTCACTCTGGTTCTGGGCACCCAGAGCCAGCTCACCATTTCAGCCAGAGCAGAGATGACCTTCCCCAGCGTGGTCAAGGACTTGTTGATGTTGGCTCCTTCCTGTGTGCAGAGAAGATGGTCAGGACATCAAGAAGTCTCAGAAGCCTCTTGCTCCAGAGTGATACCCTGAGACTGACCCATGTGGCATGGGGCTGAGGCCACCAGCCCTGACTGCTGACCTCTGAGCAGGGCATGGATGCTCTGGCAGGAAGCCAGCGGAGAGCCACCAGCCAAGGACAGCAGTTTGCCAGCACCTCTCCTCAGCTCCGTCAGAATCCCCGTAACATCTCATACCTCCCCACCAGAACCATTTCCAACCATCAGACAACAGGAGGGGTCAAGAAAGTAAAAACTCTCCCTCTTGACACCCAGAACTATTGCAACAGGGCGTGGGGTGACCCCAGGATGCTGGCCAGCCAGCTGACAGCCCCCACTGCCTCACAGCCCCCACTCCTTTGCAGGGAAAACACAGGTACCGCTGGCCCAGGTGAGGGTACAGAAGAGGACTGCCTTCCTGGCTGGTCTCTATCCTCATTCACCCGGAGCCAGCTGCCAGAGGCCTGAGGCCCTGGTCTGTGCCTACCTCACTCCTGCCCAGGCTTACCTGGGCTGGCCCAATGCCCCTGAAGCCCCCCCAGAGCCCTCTCACCCACTCATCCACCCCATAAGCCAAGCAGGAACACTGGACCCTGACAGCAGGTAAATAGAGGGCAGAGTAGCCACTGCACGCCAAGGGCCTGGAAGCCTGGCCCCTACCTTGAGACGTGTGCCCTTGGCCCCTGTGGAGTCAGCCCGCTCGCTCCCAGCCAGATCCACCAGGCTGATTTTGCTCACCTGAAAGGGCAAATGCATCAAATGCAGGAGATGCCACGAAACTAATGCTGGGGGCTCCATGGCCAAGGCCCTCCCAGAGCCTGGTGGCTCTGACCCCACAGTCTCTTCCTCCACCTCTATTTGCAGCCCTTTTGATGCCCTACCAGCGTGAGGTGCCAAGCCACCTCCCCTGAGAAGCTGCATGCCCTTGGTGCATGTGATGCTGTCTCCACGTGCTATGTACTCTTCACATAATAGCCTACTGACTCCCTACAGCACCTGCGAGGTACATCTGTCACGGTCTCCACAGACAGCCCTCATCGTGTATGGTGGGACTAGAACCTAGGTCCTGGGAGGGCCATAGCCACTGCTCAGCTGCCTCATGGGCACAGCTATCCCCAGAGCCCCAGGGCACTGTCCAGACTCCCTCTAGGGGCTCCCTCATCCCAGGGTTGCCACATGCATTCTAGGAGGCCCAGGCCCTTCTGAGCCACAGCCGTAGGGCAGGACTCACCCAGGTGTCTATAGACCATGGACATTGGCAGGACCCTTTCAGGATCCCCAGCTAGTGAGAGCTGCAGCCCTACCAACATGGCTCCCAGCAGCCCCAGCAGCCCTCAGCCTGCCCGAGGCCCTGCCCACTACTTCATGTGGTTGTGGTTGACAGAACGCACACAGCTGCCTCTTGCACCATCAGGGACTGAGTAGTGGTAACCTCACCAGGTCCCCTGTGGGCCCCAGGTGTGTACTGAGAGAACTCCACCATTGGGAAACAGCTAAGGTGCCACCGGGGGGTGGAGGGACTGGGGTACCATGGGGACAGACAGGGGGAAGCTCAGCACCTGCCTGCTGTATCTTCCAGAAACCCACAGACTGGATGTTTAGGATAAAGCCCAGGGAGACGACAGCCCACCTGGTCCACTGAGGATGCCAAGGTGCGTGGGAAGGGCATCAATAGCAGGCAGGGCTGTGCCCGCTCAGCACAAGCCCACCTTTGTGGTATCAAAGGCCGTTGCCCCTAGAGGGGGTGGGAGGACCACCGTCTTACTAGCCTGCATCAGGGCCCCATATACCTTTGTGATAGGCTTTCACTGAACTCATCACCCTACCTTCACAGCCCCCCAGGTGTGGCTGCATCTCGTTCTATCCCCTGGCCTGGAGGGGCTGCCATAATGCAGGGCAGCCCTAGGGACATCCCTCCATAGCCCCCATAGTCTCCACAAGAACAGCCCAGACTTCAGGTCCACCGTGGTCCCTTGACTCTGAGTCCCTTCCACACCCCAGCAGCCCCATGCGCCCAGGGAAGGAGGCCCTGTAGGCCTGGGGATGCTCAGGTCAGCCCTGGTGCCCAATGAGGACACTGCCCACACCTCACAGCCTATGTTCGGTTTGGCATCCTCCTCCCACCCTGACTGCCCTGACCTGTCCATGCCCTGGCCACGGGCCACTGCTGTGGTCACTTTCTCTGTGGTGCACTCACTTTCTCTGTGGTGATGTTGGTCTCTGCGTCATGGCGCTTCTGGGTGAAGATAATGTTAAAGACGGCATGGGAGCGGCTGCTGGTCTCGTTCATGTTGGTGGCTGCCACCGTCCTGAGGAATAGGAAGCCACACCGGCTAACCCTCGTCCGGTCTGGCATGAGGGGCACTGGCAGTGCCCATACACTGGGCCAGGTCATCAGCATCAGCTCCCCCAGGCTCCCAGGGCTGCCCTGACCAGCCAGGTGGCAGCTACACCTTCTGTCAGGGCTCAAGCAAGGCCACACCGGCCCACCTACTGCGGTATCCTCAGCCCAGCTCACGCCTGGCACTTGGGGAGGGAAGTGCTCCCAGCGGCCCAGGGGCAGCTAGGTGTCACCCAACTGGGCAGGAGCACCCCAGCATCCTGATGTAGGAAAACCCCACCCAGAAGGGGAAGGGGCTTCCACAGTTCATCCCAGGCCATGGCCCAAACTAGCCACTCTGGGTAGCCAAGGATCCCACCCCATCCCCAGGAGCCCTACCCCCCAGCAGCAGGGTCCCCCAGCTCCTGTCTGACAGGACTAGAGCTGGTCCCAATGTCACCCCACTGGCCAGGGACACTCAGCTTGCTATCTGTGGCAACCCACAGCTGGGTCACAGAGAGGTTACACTGAGAGGCCTTGCAGGAACAACTAGGGGGGGCACCAGGCCAATTCAGGATGGCACATGTCCCCCACACCTCAGGAACTGGGACTGATGCAGACAATCACCTCACCCTCTGGGGAGTCCCAGGTGGCAGAGAGATGGCACTGTTGTCTGACAACCAGAGCATCCCAGGAAGGAGGCCTAGAGTGGCCTCCTTATCAGCCCACTAGTGGCTGATAAGGGGACTGCATGGCCAGTAGCAGCTGACCCCTCCCCATATGCCCGTGTTGGTCCCAGCATGCTCTGGACTCCTAGCCCCACCAAGCCAGCTGCCACAGGCTCTGCTGACACCCCCACAGGCACCTTGGCTATAGGGTAGAGAGCCCCCCCGGAGGAGCAGCCCTGGGAAGGTGACAGTGGCCCTTGTACAGAAGGAGCCACAGCCTCTCTGCATGTCCTCAAGCACACAAATGCATATCTCCACGGGAACCACTGGACACACCCCAAGCAAGATCAACAGGTGCACAAGGGCCAGCCCAGAGATGAAGGTGGGGCTTCCGGAGGAGAGTGACCCTCCACACACCTGGCCTTGTTCCCTGAGTCCATGAGGTCCTGGATGTCATTGTAGGAGGTGACAGCCAGTTTGGAGAGGTCCTCTACATAGGGCCCCAGCAGTGGGTGCTCCCTCACTCGCAGGTTGCCCTTGTTCTTGGGGTTCAGAAGGTCCCGGACGCGCTCACAGTAAATCTCCATATAGCTGACCTGCAGGACCAAGCCATGCCATCAGGGACCTGAGGTGGGGGGCAGAGGCAGCCCAGCTGGCGGCCCTTCATGCATGTGCAAGGTGGGGCATCAGCCACCCCCACCAGCTGGTCTTCCTTCTCCAGGGCTCTCTGGTCTCTGGGACACATGCACACCAGGGCCACCTCTGCCACAGCAAGGCCCAGGCTGTGCAGGTCTGTGGCTGTTCCTGCACCCAACTCAGAGTAGCCACTGGGCAAACATGGAGGACTTCCCCTTCCCCTTCTGGGCTCTGCACAGGCTCGCTGGTGTGAGTGTCATGTGGACAGGTGACAGGCTGAGGGTGCAGACCAGTGGCAGGAACTGACTTTAAGCCAGAACTGCATGACTGAGCACACAGGAGTCCCCAGCCTGCCCCAGGGCCCTACCTCCACAGAGTAGGACAAGTTGTCATTGGTCGCGTCATTGATGCGAGAGAAGAGGTCCTCACAGAGCTGCAGGGATGGAAGGAGACAGTCAGCGTGATCAGGGGCCACTCCCCAGGGTGCTGCTCCTGGGGGTGCTTCTTGCCCCAGGACACATGTGCCAGTGTTGAGGCACTTGAAGGCCTGCAGCCAAGGAGTAGTGTCTGCCTCTTAACTCAGGGTCGCTGACTGGTGACAATCAGCTCTGCAGCCCCTAGGCCCCTCACACTCCCTTCACTGAGCAGATGAGAACTTAGGAGCTCAGGTCTGGAGACCTGCCAGGGTGGGGTAGGGGGTGGGCTTTCTGCTGCATAAAGAGCCATTTTGTCTGGATTTAGTCACCCACCCCCCAGCACCTCTCTCTGCTGGCCCTGCTGGCCCCTGAGAACAGCTGCCCCAGTCAGGGCTCTCCTAGTCACCCACCACGGGGAGATGGCCTTCCTGTACTTAATTCCAAGGCCTGAGTTTGCAACTGCTGTTAGGCCAAAGTGGTTCCCCCTGCCCCAACCCCTGCAGCCCCCTGCTATCCAGGGCTGCTCTGGGGGAGCCTGCCCGGGTCTCTGAGCCTCAGCTGGTCCTGCCCTGTCCCACCAACCCAGTCTGCCCTCACCCTTGGCCTCGTGCCCCAGCCTGCTTGCCTGCGGGATAATGCCCTGCTGGTCCTTCTCCTGCTTGCCCATCATGGTGTAGGACTTGCCGGCCCCTGTCTGCCCATAGGCAAAAATGCACACGTTGTAGCCCTCAAAAGCATGCTGCAGCATCTCCTCGCCGATGTCCCGGTACACCTGCTTCTGCGAGGCATAGTTGATGTCCTCGGGCTGGGGACACAGAAGGAGCACTGCTGCAGGAGGCTGGGTGTGCCTGAGGCTCAACCTGCCCTATGCACAGAGCCACGTGGTGCCCAGGGCCTCAGACCAGGCAGTGGGGAGGGACGCCTGCCCCATCCTAGTCCTGCCTGGGAGCTGAGTCCTGGAGGAGGGGCTCTCTGCACCACCAGGGAGGGATGAAGAGCAGCTGATCGAGTCAGGCAGGAGGAAGGGCACACCAGCATCAGGGTCAGCATGTGCAAGAGCTAGAGTGGGACCTCAAAACCAAAGTCAGTGCCATGTGACAGCGGTGGGAGTGAAAGAGCTGGGGCTGGAGAGAGGGCAGAGTCAGAGGCCCGGGGACACCACACTGAGAGGAGCAGAATATGTTAGAGAGACAGCATGGCCAGCCAGGGATCATGCTAGGAGAAAGGCAGGACTAGACAGGAAAGTGGGGAGCCCTGGGGCTGTTCAGAGGGGCCGTTCAGGGGCAGGTACTCAGAGACATGCTTGTGAGAAGCTTAGGTCAGGCAAGGAGCATGGGTGGGGAAAGGATGCCTTCTAGAAGGATACAGGGG